TAGTTGTACTTAATTATATATTACTGAAATAAAGGACTAGAGAAAAGACCTCTCTTAAAAAAAAAAAAAAAAAAAATACTCAAAATATAATATTTAGTATAAGAAAAAAAAGATTATATTAGTTTAGAATAAAATAAAATAAGACAGATTAAAAAGATATATTTATATATAAAATAGGTACTAAACATTTTAATTTAAATAACTATACAAAGATATGGTAACCTAATAAAGTGATCAGATTGTTAACCTCTCAAATAATAAGTTGGATATTTAAATCTTATTGATAATAAAAATTTAGATAATCATCTATATAATATTTATATTATGATAAATGTTATTAATAATTGAGTTAGAATACCTGTAATAATAATCATACCAGTATGACTGGCAGGTTATAAGATATTTGTATAATGTTAAAATTATACAGAAAAATGTAAACCAACAACTAGATAGTACAAACATTAGATAAGTCCTTGTAGTTATATAAATCTGTTAAAATTAGATAACAAGGAGTTTATTTGGAAAAACTCAAGTAGAGAGGTAATTAGATTTTCAATAACATTATTGTAAAAGTTAATATTGAGAAACAGATACCAAGATTTTAGTAACTAGATAAGTAAAAACTCTGGATTGGAAGTCTTAAAAATATCACCAACCAGGTTGTTAGAATAAAGTGAAGAGAAAAGATATTAGGTTGATCAAATATACTGATAAACTAATTGTAGTTTTATACAAGCCATCTGAATTAGGAATCTGATAAAATTCAGAGATATACTAAAGTATCAAAATTATGCTATGAAGTAGATATTAGAGTCTGAATGAACTTTACAAAAACATAGTAATTTAATGATTAAACCCTAACTATAAGTATTAGTTCTATTATAGTGATATCTAGATCAGTTGTAAAAATGAGTATAAAAGATTCTGGAAGATTTACCTCAAAAATAAAATAATCCTAAGGTTGAGATAATGATCTGAACATCTGGATATGACCCAGTAAGTTAACACAGATTACAGGTTCAAAGAGTTTAAAGTAAAACATCCAAACAGGAATGTTAGATATAGCAATTAGTAAGGAACCTTCAGGTGGACTTCTTAAATAGGTAATATAGAAAAATTGCACATGTAACCAATTGTACGCTCTCCTATAATGGTTCATAGAATCACATTACCAAAAGTCATTAATAAAAGTCAAAAGACCAAAGAGATCACCTTAACACCAAAAAAAAAAAATAATAAAACAGCTACATCAGTTTTTTTATAAAATTTTGAGGTATTAATGATTTTTGGTCTTTTTTTCTTATACTCATGTATATACCCACAAGGTACAAATAAAAATTCTCTACTTTTTATTAGCAAATTTAAGAAAATTTTTTAATTGCTTATACAATAAAGAAATAATCTAAACCAATTTAATTATACAATGCCAGTTTCTACGTACGTAGATTATCCTTATTTCCAAATTTCATACGTATAAAATTTTATTAATAAAATTTTATATCATTTTTTAATAAAACACTGTGCCACTTTCCTTATAGGACGTCTAGATTGAAATTGTGGCGTACATTTTAATCCTTTAATTCAAGACATAAACACGCGAGGTTGCATGAACAAAATTTTTTGTATACTTATATCCTATGTCCTATAATGACATTGGTATAAAAGTCAAAAAGAAAAGATCAACAACATTTACAATTCATTATTTTAATTCAAATAAAAAAAAGCTTTTCTGAACCTTCATAAATGGCCAAACGAAAAATGACTAATTATTTTTCAAGTTATTAATAAATAAATTTAAGATAAAGTTCATGACTGAAATTAGCAATTTTTTATAAATCAGGGATAGATTAGAGTATGAGTACATGTACGATAATGGTATATAGAACTAATGATTAGAACTAAGTTAACGTGAATTTTACTTTTGATAAAATTCCTTAATACAAATGAATGTAGAACAAACGAATGATGAGTTACGATTCGATCAAATGAAAAAAATCATTACTTTTTTATTCATTAATAGCAATTTATTATGATTATTGTATTTTTTATTTTTTTTTTTTTTTACACATCATTGTTTATGATATTTATTTAAATTTCTATAACACATATTATCAAAAAAAAATCATCAATTCTTCTTTTGACAAAGTAATGAATTAATAAAGGCATGAATTTTTAAATGACAACACGTATACGTATTAACCATTTTTAATAAATATTTTTTTGAGGTTTTTTTCCATATATTTTAAAAACTTCATAATCGTCAATTGAAAATCCACCATTTTGATTTCTAATAGGTTTTTCATAATTCAATTTTTGACACCAACATAAAATATCATTACTATAATTTCTCATCATTCCTAAATCCCCACCTCCAAAATTAAAACCAAAGGTTAAATTAGGATCATAAAATAATGCGTGATCAGCATTTTGTATACGACTAAGAATTGGTTCATTAATATCTTGATCGGCTTGTTTCAAAGAAAAAATAAAACTATCATCAGATCTTGTCCATTTTTCAGGATCTTTAGTCCATGTTAAAGGATTAAATCCACCAAGGATTTCGTTTGTACCTTTAACTCTTAACACTATTACAGTACGAGATTGATTTTCGCAATGATCGTAAAATGCTTCATCATTAAATCCATCTTTACTACCTCTAAATATTAATCTAAACTTATAAGGATTATTTCTTATATCATAAGGTGTTAAAGTGTGATCTATCCAAGAAGCTATTTGAGCAGCTTGTTCTCTAGTAATTATGGCAGAAAATGATGGATTAATAGGAAATGATGGAGTACTAATGTTCATTCTATAAGATGAAGAAGATGAAGGAGTAACAGGAGTAACAGGAGATAAAATATCTGAAGATGTGGAATTGTCCTTTTCAAAAATGGTAAGAGATGTAGAGATAGAATTTTCACAAGATGAAAGAGTTGGAATCAAATTTGTACGAGAAGTTTCTAAAGTTGGTTTTACAGGTTGTCGATCATTGTATTGTTGTATCATTTCTGACCAAATTTCTGGTTCAATAATTGCACGATATGGTTGTACTTTATAAAATATATCATCACCAGTGATCTTGGAGTATTGAATCAATGGTAAACAATTTTGTAAAGAAGTTTTTAAAGCTACAAATTCATCATCCGACCAATTTGCAGGATTCTGGGTTAAGAAAATTTTACTATGAGCTATTCCCCATCTAATGATCAATTCCCAAATAATAGATTCTTTAGTTTGTATGTCATTTCGTTTAAGAAGTGACGTTAAAATAGTTTCTTGAAGAGATATAAAATCATCAGCAACAAAGATTAAATCAGGATTGTTTACTATAATATCACCACAAAATTGGTTGAGTTTTTTAAGATTTCTTTGTCGAGTACTTGTATCGTATGCTCTAACGAAATTTTGACGTAACCAATGCGGATCATTTTCTATGAGTTGAGATTCGAGATATTGAACCAATTCATCGAGACTTAATTCATTGGCAGAAACCATGAGATCAAATATTGTTGAAGTTTCAAGGTTTTCTAATGAAACGGTGGCACCGTATATATACCTAAAAAGAGATATTGAAAGAAAAAAGGAATTAATTGAAAGAAATATTGATTATAATTATGAAATTATAAATGATAAAATGAGACGAACTTTAGAATAATTTGAAATGCCCGAGCCGATATCTGATTTATTTTAATTTCTTTAATGTTGTTTTTAGATTTAGTTGTTAAGTCCTTTAGACTTTTTCGAAAGTAAGGGCATCTTTGATATAAAATTGCGGAATGAGCTTTAAAAATGTGACTATTAGGTTGTTCACCAATTTCAATAACGACGTTATAATCAAATTCATTATCGAGAAGGTCGCTTATATCACGTGATAGTTGTTCGAAAAACTTTTTGTTGAAGTGGTATTTTGGAACAACTTTTGGAGTATTATAAATCTTTTTTGAAAAAAAGTTCATTTTAAATTCACTTTACTATAAAAGATAGAGTTTGTAAATGAGAAAAAAAGAGAATCAGGAATAAAAAATTAGAATTGAAATATAAATACGCAAATTTGAAAATCAGTTGCTCAGAAAGTCACATTATGATCATTCCATTGTCTTCTAGATAATATAATAACAATAATAAGGTGAACCTCATACATTCTTGCATATATTTACTTTTATTGGCATTATCATCGTCTTGCCGCATTAGCGGCCTAGCCCGCGTATACTATATTTGTATCCACGTACGTGGGTATTTGTTATTATGGCGTTAATTATCTATTATTTTCTATCTGAATTCCCTCCATAAGACTCGAAATTTAGTAAAACTAGTAAAAGTTCCGAACTTTACTATTGATTTTTAGAAATGATCTACTAACCGCGATATCTTATATATGTAATGCAGTAATGCAAATGTATGTTACGTACGTCGTATGTACATGCGTATTTAAACATAATTTTTCTATATTCATAATTAAAATTTCAAAATCCTAACAAGTCAATAGATATCAAATTTTAGTAATTATGTTATCTGTATCTAAAAAAAAAAAAAAAAATTTAATTATAGTATTCATATGCCACATTCTCATATTTCCGATTTCCGATTTCCGACTATGAAAGTTGATTAATATGTATATGCATTAAGCTGCAAGAATTAATCACTTGGTTAATTCGGCGCCTTTGATGATAAACCTATGAATTATGATTAATACAGTAATATATAAAAACGTTTTCATCGGAGTTTTATGCGTGCGTGAAATTTTTAATAATTTGCGCAAGTTATTTAAACTAAAGGATTTGTGCGTCAACTTTCTCTTCAATGATTCTTGAAAAAAAAGGAACAAATGTAAATAACAAAATTCGGAACAATGACATATGTCAAAAAATCATGGCATACAAAAAAAGATTAAATTGATGATATATAAAAGATTAGATTGATATATAAGTAATGGGTGAATGTTAGTTTTTTGATGAACGAATGCAGGGACGAGTGAATGCGGGAAATTTTTTGATGGGCGAATGCAGGAAATTTTTTTGATGAGCAAATGCAGGGTATTTCTTTAAACGGTTTCGAATTTTTTTTTTTGCAACGTGAAATGTTTAGATTTTTGAAACATGAAAAAAAAAGCTGCGAGGGGAATAAGGATGAATGCGATAAATGACTTGAATGCGTATTATCGTTTATTTATAGTTTCATGCATATCTTTACCTTCAATATTTATTAATGTACGCTATTTGTTTCACTAGATTCTGTCGAAATGAACAAATTTTGGTAATGGATCGCGGTGGAAAAAACTGGTTATTGATCGAACGTGTGAAGAGCCCAAAAAAGAACGATGATTTAAGAACGATGATTTAGGAACGATGATTTAATAACGATGATTTAATAACGATGATTTAAGAACGATGATTTAAGAACGAAGATTTAAGAACGAAGATTTAATAACGATGATTTAATAACGATGATGATTTAAGAACGATAATTTAAGAACGATGATTCTAGGTCAAATGCTCAAATGCTCATTTCTAGTCCCTGGCTTTTTTTAAAAAAAAGAGGACCTAATTTATGCAATTACTAGTATATACTTATTTTAAGATCAAGTCACAAAATTTAACCATGATACGTACATCGTAACAACTTCTTTTTGTTAAACGAGAATTAAATGTAGATTGAATTTATTTTTAGGTATCTTTGGTATATTAGTAAACGCATTCATTGATGTTTCATTCTGATGCATGCATTCAGTTTTATTATGTTATCTGAATAATAATCATGAGTACTCACAATTCTAAAGTTTTTTTTTTACATCGAATCGATAAGTAATGTGATTTATACATTTAAAGTGTGACCTTTCAACTATGAATAACGATAAACGCGAGTGACGCGTTATTATGCTTTGCCAAATTTTATCACGACTTTAAATAATTGCTTAAGTTGAATTAAACAAAACATAAAAGCTTTTAAGAATTTTTTTTTTTTTTTTTTTAACAGAATTGAATCCACCTTTTCTTCATTATCTACAAAAAACTATTCACCCTTATATGTACATATAGTTCTTTGTTTTTAATAAACATAGTCCACCAAATTAACCCAATTAACAAGCTACTCTCATTCAAACATAGCAATAAAAAAAAATTTACAATGAATATTCAATAATAGTTACCATTGAAAGTTTTAAGTGAAAAAAAGAAATTTTTTTTTGGTTTTTTTTTTTTTTTTTTACTGTACACACAAAACTAAAAATTATTACTTGTTGATATAATGTGAACGAACATCAAATAAACTAATTATCATAAAAACATCAATTATTAAAAATTAAATCATTCATTTGTAAAAAACGGATGTTGTAAAGCTTCGTCTATAGAGATTCGTCTCAACGGATCAAAAACTAACAATTTTTGTATTAAATCGACAACTTCAAGTGAATAATGTTTAAATCTACGTTCCGGAAATTCTATACTGGACACAGATTGCTCAGATATTGGATGATTTTCTTCAAAAGGATATCGACCTGCAAGACTATTTTAATAAAAATAAAAGTTATAAAACACTGTTAAAAAGAAATAAAAAAAGAAGTGATGATAATAATAAGTGGCACTCACCAAACGTATAATGTCGCACCTAATGACCATATATCAGCACGTTTATAATTTAACCAGGCCAATTTATCTGTTCTATGAAATTGACCAAGAACTTCTGGAGCTATAAGTTCAACAAAAGAAAGAATGATATAAATAAATACACTTTTTTTTTTTTTTAATTAAAAAATTTTAAAAAAATAAACATACCAGCAAAAGCAGGTGTTCCAACGACCTGTAATCCAGAATGATAACCAAACTCGGTAGATAAACCAAAATCACCAAGTTTTGCAAATCCATCTTGATATAACATTATATTTTCAGGCTATATTTTATTTAATCATCATTAGTATCTATATTTATTAATATTAACGTTTAATACAATAGAATTATTATTAAAAAAAAATAATAAATTTACTTTAATATCCCGATGAACAAATCCAGAATCATGTAAACCTTTAACAGCCTCAAATATAGGCTTTATCAGTTCGCGAACACTACGTTCGGTCATCCTTCGACGATAAATCAAATCGCTTAGGTCTTTACTTGCAAGAGGCATTATATAATATACTTTTTGTGAGGTTTCTACTAAATCTAAAAGTGGTACTAAATTTGGCTATAATAATAATGAATGAAATTGAAAAGAATATGACTGTTAAATAATAAGTTTAACAATAAATTTAATAACAAACAAAATAATTTAATAATAAAATGTATTACTTACTAGACCATCGGTTCGTAACATGATTTTACCTTCATGTATTATTTCTGCATTTCTCTTTTTTTGTTTTTTATCAGCGATTTGGAATCGCCCTATTGAACACATAAATTGCTTTTTCAAACATTTCACCGCAACGCGTGTATTGTTCTGAAGGTCCACACCTATTGAACAATAATAAATCAAGCTTAATTTTTATGAAAACTTTACAAAAAAAAATTCATAACAATAATATATATATATATATATTCAAACAAGCTATTAAGAAATTACCCTTGAAAACCTTTCCATGATGACCTTCGCCAATAGTATCTTTTTTATCAATAAGATATCGACCATTCAAAAGTCTTTCAAATTTATTTCGGTTCACAATCGTGCCAATAATATGTGAACTCTGTTTTCGTGCAATTTCTATTCTGCTCTTGGCAGAATCAATTTGATCATGTTTGGATGTTCGTGTTTCTTGACTACTCAAACAAGAATTACAGCTATCTGATGAAATGTCTTTTTCCGTTATGGATGATTTTTTGGCAATGACTTTCTTTATAAACCTTGACACGCGTAATCTTGCTGGTTGTTTTTTCGCTATATTTGATGGTGAATTCAGTGCAGACTGCTGCTAAGTACCGTTTATACAAATGTATAAAATTTTAATAATAATAATAATAAACTTGAAGTATAACAGTAAAATGAATATGAACGAACCACTTTTGTAGTTTCATTTGAATGATTAACAGAAATTGTTTTATCGGCATTACCATTCTCATATAAAGCTTCGTCTGTTATATCAGGATCACTTGAAGATTCCTATATTATCAAATAATATCGGTTTATTGATTCTACATACAAATAATTCTAGCAGTACAATATATATATTTACATTTTTTAGTTTGAGTTCATAATCAAATTTCTTTCCGCGAACAAACTATAAAAAAAAAACGAGATAAAATCGAGTCAATAAGTAGAAAAAAAGATTACATGTAAAAATAATAATTATATTCTAACCTCTCGAAGACCTTCGATATCGTCTGTTATAGTTTTATTAAGTCTGTCATCAATCTGTTTAATTAACTTTAAAACCAAGTCACATGATTAGTTTTAATTTCGTATTATTGTTATTAATAATAATAAAATACAAACCTCTTTAACTCTTCGACTATTATCTTGACAAAGGTCGGTATTTAAATTTACTGACATAACATTATCAAACTCTTTTAACAAGTCATCTACCCATCGTTCCAAACTCTCATTATTTCTTATATACATCGCAGCACCTTTAGAGGTATCATAACAAGTCGTGGATTTTTTTGCGGATGGCATACATATGGCCGAGTCAAGTCTTTGATCATTTTTTTTCAATGTTGAATGGTAATTAGCGTCACTAGTTTTTTTTGGTTGAAGACTATTACTTCTTGTAATTTGATTATGCATTTTCTGAGTAAACATTACACTAGGAAATAAAGGTTCGTATGGTTGAAATGTGAAAACTGAAGAATTATCTACATTTTGATTGAGTGATGCCATTTTTTTTTTTTAATTCTCTAATTAATAAAAAAGCTGGAGAATCATAGAAAATTTTGGATTTTGGGGTTTTTTCAAAATATATAAACGGAAAGTTTAATTTGTGAGGAGGTTTTTTTTTTTTTCTTTGAGGTATGAATTTTTTAATGAATTTTTCTTTTTTTTTCAGAGTTATATCAATTGAGAAATTTCTTTTTTTTTTTTTTTAAAGGTTATTATTGTACGGTTTTTATGTCGATGAATGGAATTAAGAATACTACTTCAATAAGCACACATATTGATTACACTATCGTAATAAGTCGTTCTTAGGTAAATTATTGTTATCAACGAATAAATGATAAATGATGATTATTATTATATATATTTATTTTAATAAAATAATTTTTACTTTTCTGTTGAATTTTTTTTAGAGGTTTAATCAAGCTGATATTACATGAAACAGCTATCCCTCTTACAATTGTCACTAGCAGAAAAGTATTACTATTGTCACTATTGTCAATGGACAATGGACCAAGAGAACTAATGATGAATAAGATTAATAACACGTCGTTCGAAAGAGAGGGATAAATCTTAAATTCTTTTCGAAAAATTTAAGAAATCACTGCTCAGTTCAACTGAGGTTCTATAAATTTATATATAATTTGTGTAGGTAAAATGGTAAATTGGAAAGAAGGCGACGGAAGAAAAGCCCACTTACTAGTTCGAACTGGATTTTCGACGTACCTTTTTATCAAAAAAACAAAAATTGGTACGTGTGATAAACAAGATGGGTTGATACCAAATTACCGGTTTCTTTGTATTCAATACGCATAAATATCATCAAATTCTGTATGTAAAAATTTAACTCCAAACAACTTTTAAACATAATAATAAAAAAAAAAAAAAAAAAAACTAAATAATCCGGCAGTGAAACTAAACTAAGTTCATTTATAACTTAACACATTATAATTTATTAAGTAATATATAATTTTTACGTATAACGATAATTGTAAATAGCCCCGATTTTGTAATATTTAGATTCCTATTTATAAGGCTACTTGGCGGTTCTAAAGGTATTTCGGAAATTATGATCCTCACGGTAATGTATCCTATATGTTGTAATTCAACAAATAATCTGCAAAAATAGCAAATTCGATTATAATTTATCCGTTACAGGAAGGTAGAAGGTAGGAGGTTGTTTTTCATTGGTGCATCCGAGAAGATCGTGTGTGCGAAAGTTCAAAGAACCGAATTTCCTGATGTCTGGCAATGATCAAACTTTTTGTTTCAAGTAATCTAAATTCCGGATCATATTTAGTATAAGGTAAAAAAAAATATTTTTTTTTTAATAATAATAAAAAATGAAATACGATTGTACTTTGTTTGTTACAAAGTTACCTTCTGACCGTCTCAGGGAAAAGATCATCTGATTATATATTTGCCTATATATTTTGACTATATATTTGTCTATTTAACTATATATATACAGTATTTGACTATAGATTTGACTATATTTTTCGCACATTTTGCACATGTGATGTTATTTAATATTGATTTGTCAACGATTTAGAACTTATTCATTCATGCACTATTAATTGTTGATCTTTTTTTTTCTGTAATTATTATAAGATTCTATTTCTATTCTTGGTTATGCTTTTTCTTTTTCTTTTCTTTTTTTTTTTAAGAAATCATATCTTATTGGTGTTTCTTAAGCTCGGATATCTAAAGTGTCATAATGTTTCATTATTTATTCATGTAAAATTCATAAAATAGATTCCTGTTAATAACAATGGCTGGAACCATTAAACCAGTTTCATTCATTCATTCCAAACCTGTAAGAATGAATTTATATAATTCTAATTTAAGACGAAATCAATATTTCCTTTTGCTCTACGGATTTATCTACATTTAGCATTCAGGTTCGCGTCATCACATTCTTTACAGTTTATTTGGAAAAATATGCATACATATTTTACGTATGAATTTTTTCTCACGATTTGCATAATTTCATTATACTGCGTAAATGTATGCGTGGATATATTTGTATGCTATTATGCTATTATGCTATTATGCGTGACCTACAACATAAAGACTTAACATAACGATAACGATAAAGACTTTGTTAATTTAAATGGTACGTATTAGAATCAAGTTATAAAAGTTATAATTAGGTAATTTTTAATATTCTTGAAAATACAATTCGAATGTCTTGATAGATTTAGAAAATATTTATGTATGTAATGCGTTCTAAACAACCAATAATGATAAGTGAAATCCCCTTAATCAAATGCATTCAAACAAATGTAATAACGATACGTAACGATAAATAAAATTCATACAAGCAATTTACTCCGCTAATGTTTATCTAACACTAACCGTTGCTCGAGGCTTTTATAACGATAACGCATGAGCCTCGATTTTTTTTTTAATTCACACTTATCGCTTCAAATATTGACAGGCTTGGTGGGAATAATATGGCTGTGTTACTTATAATATTATTACGTATAAATATTATTATAATATTATTAATAATATTCTTACGTATAGTATTATTATAATATTATTAATAATATTCTTACGTATAATATTATTATATCATTATTATTATATTATTATATTATTATAATGTTGACATAACAAAAACTTGTCTACGTACCATTATCAATTATATTAGGATAAAATCATAATATGATTTGGCTATGAAAACAAGATACGTACGTACGTAAAAATATACCATAACAGATAACGATAAATATCCTTAACTGTAATACAGTAATACGTACGTACGTATAATCAATATCAGGTACAAGAATGTCATTGATAATAGATACATTTTCATATGTAAGAGCCAATTTTCTACGTATAAGCCTTCAAACCTAAATCAAGAAGAAAAAAACTTGAAAATTGTAATAACTAGAGAAAAAAATGTATGAACAAAGAAACACGTGTAAACCTCCGCAAATAATATGCAGGTTACATATTACAATTTACATTTGCATTTATTTATTATTATTATTCTTTCTATTTCAATAAAATTATGACCTTCTCTTGCATATATTTAAGTATTCATTATTTGAATTCCTATTGTTATTTTCGAATGTTGGTTAGGGTCCATAACATTCGATAAAACATAATGACAATGTTCATATGCAATCATGTGGTACATTTTATTTCGTATCTTCAAATTTGTAAAGTATTATTAAATTTTGGAACTTCGACCTACGAGCCTTTTTTTTAATCTATAATTGGTCTTATGACATCTTTCATATAAACTTTATTAGCCTGTGTTCAAAAAAGTCAGTATTAATTTCAACTTGGATATACGTAGTGAATATCGTGATCATGTGACTACTATATATATTCGCCATTTAAAAAAATATTACGTAATTAATAAAGTCTACTCTGTCTACTCCTTTAAAACGGTTCTTTTTTACTTGAAGGGTGGATAGCTCTTTAAATCAATTACCTCATAATACATACCCGCTACGTAATTTTTTTTCCGAGAACAGATAAATATATTAATTCATATTTGTTAGCGTTAGTGAGAAAAAAATTATTAAACATAGTAAAGGGGCATTACCTAAATAAAAGTGCGTGAGTATATACACACGTACGTACGTACGTACGTACCTTATCTTCTGAAAATCATTCCGACCATTCTTATTCTTTCTTTCGAGTTATAAATTTTGTTTGTGTTGATAATCACAAACAAGATAAATTACAAATTTGTTAATCTATATCTATATACCAAGATCTCTCTAAACGTGTCTCCGTAGGCGCACTGACTATATAAATGTGCGCTTTGATTCGGTCTATGAATGCACTCCCTCCTTAAGACGTGTACGTATGTACATACGTATTTTGTTTTGTCATATGGCCTAGAAGAGGCGTATGTAAAAAATATCCTTGTACAACCTACTCCCATCCCTGTTTACTAATCTAATTACACAAATTGTATACTTTATCGTTATCATCATATTTATACATCATGAATTTTAATTCTTCAAATGGAATTTATTTAATAAACATTTCGGCACATATGTGCGTACGTACATGCGAGTGTAAAAGTCTATCTTCCTCCACGCACCACGTTTATTTATCTTTCGGCCGCATATATCATTATTAGTTTTCTAATAATGTTATTGTTATTTGGTGTACCCGGGTCACCCGGTGATCGACGGTTTGGCCCGGTAAAATGAATGTGGACGACGACTCTGGTTTCCAGAATTCATACATATTTATTACCTTTAGTTTGAGAGCAGCTGATCCTTTTTGTATAAGTTTTTAGCATAAATAAATGACCCATAGCAATAGCAATAATATTTGTAACGAATCAGCAATTCTTAAAATATTGTTGTTATTCGGCTGATTTTCACTTAAATGAAATCAAAAATAGAAGCCTGCGATAAAAATCGATTAACGTTAATTTTGTAAGAGAAATGGTTGGTCCATTTTTCGATGATTTGGGTTTAAATGAACCATAGCGATAGCAGTCGATTAAGCCAAAATTATTAAAAGTAAATATGTTATTCTTTAGATATTACCGTTATTTAATAATGCTGGTTTTATTACTGTTAAATATTAATTTCTTATTATGTATTAATTTTTAATTTTATTTTTAATATATATAATTGCTTATTATATAATATTTTAACAAAATATATAATTTTTGGATTTAAAAAAATTGGTTATTTTTAAAATATTAATAAAATTTTTTATTTTTTAAATAAGTACAAATATACTTCTCTATAATCATCTTTTAAATTCTATATTATTATTTTAAATTTTAATAAAAAATTTATTAATAAATTTATATGATCAAAATATAGTATAGGTTATTGTTTCTTAAAATTTAATTATCATTAAAGTCAGGGTTGGAGTTAAATTAAGGTTATATTAGTGCTTAGCTTATAGTAAAATTTCGCAAGAAATTTTTTTAATTAGAACACAAAAGGTCATAGACGAAATTTTGAGCTATCACGAACTTTTGGAATTTTCAATGTTTTCGGGTTACACGAACGTTA